AATGGGAAAAACTTCGACCTCATTTGTCAAATTCCACATTGAAATAAGAACCATGCTTTGGATTGGGTTTTGAAATTACCAGCTGAAACAAAGTTTTTATCCCTAAAACCTTAAGACATCTTTATTTGTTCTTCCTAAAATATACAGTATCTGCCAAGATATTGAGGCCAATTTGAAAATATATAACATTAGCTATGCATGTTGTTAAACATACTGTTCTAGTGACATTTAGCAGTGTTCAGTAATTGGCTTAATGAACAGGTGTACAAGTATATTAGTTATGCAGATGTTAATTTGCAGGAACATGTGCTTCCTGATTTGGGAGGGTTCTTGTATAAACTACAACTAGTAAGATTTGTTCCTTAATTAGGAAATCATTACAAAGTATGTGTGTGTGTGTGATTCCCACCATTAGGACCATTAGTCTTGTTTAATGTGCACTGAACTTCAGGAACACTCTTGATAATGCCATTCCTATTGCTCCAGGTACTATGCAGGTGTCAGGATAAAGTCTACTTTTCTATAGGATGCCTTACTGTGCAGCTGTAGACAGCAGGGAAAGGGGAAACTTTGCAGCTGTCATATGTAGCATGGAAGAGAAGACAGAAATGTAATCTTTTCTGCACACTCCATCAGCTTTCCCTTTAAAGACTTTGTAAACAAATTTGCTATTCTCTATAAAGACAGTTGAGCACAATTGAATAGTTTGTTGCTTGCCAAACAGTAGATGTAACAGTCTTATTAAATAAGAAAGACAGAGCCAAATGCAGAGTTAAGAGCCCAAGAGGTCAGAGCAGTAGCTAAGAGCTGATACTAAAAACCCTTTCTTATCCTTCACTGCCACTGTTGTCCTTCCCCTCAGAAAGAGACCTACTTCCTGTGTATCTGTCTTTTTATTGACTTTCTGTTCTGCCTTCTCATTCGTTGTAAACCCAATCACATGACCTCCTCATCACTGCCTGTCTATACAGTCCTCTAGGTCTCTATGGTTGGTATTGAGATTAAAGGCATGTGTCTCCATGCTGGCTGTATCCTTGAACACACAGAGATCTGCCTGTCATATGATTAGGATTAAAGATGTGCGCCACCACCACCCAGCTTCTGCTATGGCTTACTACTAGCTCTGACCCCCAGGAAACTTTATTTATTAACATACAAATAAAATCACGTTTCAGCACAAATATCACCATACCAAACTAAGTAAACTTTACCTACATTTAAAAGATTATGCTCTTTCCTATTGTTTATGACTCCTACATTTGTTCCTCTTGGTTTCCAAGGCTATCAGTTTATAAACTACTGAATGAGATTGGTCTGGATTTTTGTTTCCATGTTGAAAGAATAGAAAATTACAAAGACTAATATAGAAAAACCATAGAAGTACCACCTAGAATGACCAAATGCTACCTTGGGACCTCTGCTGGGGACTGCTTGATGAGCTGGTAAATGAATACCATTGAGTCTGCCTCTAAGAATCTATCTTACGAAAATTTTTTGATAAATTAAAAAATTAACAATATTTTTAAGTTTCTGTGTCAGCTTATGAGTCAACAAATGTTATCCATTTAAAATATCCTAAGACATTCTACAATTATAAACATCTGGGTCAAATTTTTTACATTCACTGGGATAGCAAAATTAAAGAGTATTTCTAAATATTGCAAATATTAGACTGTGGAAAGTATATACCCATATTTATTTATGATGATGAACATCCCTCTTTTGTAAAAGGATAAATTTATAGTGAAATTTCATGTAGAAACTCACATATTGAAGGGAATATAAGAACATTTTTGGGTATTTTATAAAAGGTAATCAGTATCTTGGTGGTAGCACAGTTCTAACAACAATACAAATATTTTTATCATAAGCATTATTATCTTCTTACAGACAGTGTTTTATAATGTTTCATTTTTTATTCTTTCCATTATTAATGCCAATTTAAGTACTACAATTAATTTAACCCAGTAGACTGTAAGTCTCAGATCCACGGTAACTTTTCTACTGTGCAAGCGATTTCATATTTGACTGTATTGTTCACTATGAACCTGAGAACCTTAAGGCAACTGCTTCTAACTCAATTCTTCTATTGTTCATGACTCCTACATTTGTTCCTTTGTAATGATTTCCAAGACTATCAGTTCATAAACTGTTCAAATAGATTGGAGATTTTATATGCTTTAGCCTGGATTTTTATTTCTATGTTGAAAGAGTAGAACATTACAAAGACTAATATAGCAAAGCCACAGAGCTACCATCTAGAATGAACAGATACCACTTTGGGACCTCTGCTAGGACTACTGGATGAATGAGTAAAATAATTCTTGTATTGAAATATAAAATAACTCTTTAGTCTTATCCAAATGATTTCTAGTGATTACAGCTTTATTATAATGTATTTGTAAAAGTTTATGTGCATTAGAAACATATGGACTTAAATTAGTTTAAGTGGCATTCTGAGATCACTGAAAGACAGATTTTAACATATGAATGCTTCTGTTCTGGACATTTGCTGTCTCATCACTATTGTTTGAATTCTCTATCTGAGTCTCTTGTATTGATCCCTAAGGCATTAAAACAAAGAAACAAACAAAACAAAACAAAACAAAACAAAACAAAACAAAACAGGGGCCAAAGACAAAAATAGCCATTAGTTTTGAAAACCTGCCTAGTTTGTCAACTATTTTAACTTGCTACACTACTTTGATTCTCAAAACTCGAGTTCTTACTGATGGAATGCTTGATGTTTTTTAACCTCAGGGTTTTAAACAAGTTACATATATAGCACAAGTAAAATAGAATACAATTGCAAAGGAAAGTGGAGTTATAGATATTGAGGCTATCTAATTTTAATTTCAAAAATTTTGTTCATTTGAAAATCAAAGGGCTCAGACTAGATTTTAATGAAAAATGATAGCTAAAGCAGTGGTTCTCAACCTTCCTAACTCTGTTATCCTTTAATACAGTTCCTCATATTGTGGTGACCTGCAACCATAAAATCATTTTAGTTGCTATTTCATAACTGTAATTTTGCCACTATTATGAATTGTAATGTAAATATCTGATATGCAGCATATCTGATATGCGACCCCTAAGGGGGTCATTACCCACACAGGTTGAGAACCACTGAGCTAGCATGTAAAGTGACACTAATGAGCATTATATACACCTGTGTTAGCCAGGAGCCCATTAGATTATAAATAAAATAATAATCATACATCCATCTTACAGCAGTTCATCCTGTATGTTCCTGTTTAATTAGTTTTCTGTTGCAGAGTTTAAGGCCAGTTGAAGTTAGAAAGATTTTCTTGACTACTTCTTTGATTTTTTAAAATTTTCTGAATGTGATTGCAGAGGTAATTTTGATATAATTTAAATTCTCTTTATTGACATCAGAAATAGCTATTGAACTGTCATTTCTTTCTTTATGCAGTTGTCTTAAGCTGAGAGCTTAAATTAGAATAAATTGAAATGTTGACTGTTGTATAAGAAAGACAGTGTGTTTGCAGAAAGATCCTTTGAGGAACGTTTATGATGTTTTTTAAAGAAATATACTAAAAGTCATTTTTCTTTCCCAGTGATTGTGTTTTGGCAACATTGCAAAGAACTTGTCACCTGTCACAAAATCATAATTTTCAAGGGAATTATTATCTACTCTCATTATATTGTGTCTATCCTTACATTGATCATTCTACTAAATCTTAGAATGTTTAATATTTTTTCTGTAGTTAATTTATTTTGTGTGTTACTTGACCACTGAGCTAACAGAATCTGTATATGTTACACCATTAATGCAAAGGGAATCTATACTTTTACATTATTATGCATCCTTTGAAATATTGCTCAAGTTTCTAAGATTCTGATACCTTTCCTTAGCAAAAATATACTGTTTGAGTATTGCTTTTTCAATATTAAAGGAAATACCTTATGTGCCAGGTCTTCAGCCAACATTAAATGAATTAAAATAATAAAAATCATTATCTCAAAATAAAGTTTATGTTTGCAAAAGAAAATAACAGCTTGATGATCACAGATGTATAATTTAGTGATGAAATTTAGCAGCATGAGTTTGAGCACAAGAAAGCCACTTGATTGAAAAAGTAAGTTAGCTTTGCTTGTCTAACATGATTTAGTGGTCCCATTGCCTCCAGCCTTGTATTTATCATGGAAGAGGTAAACCAACATTACTTGAGCACAACTGCTGGAGCATTTCTATGCAGATGGAAGTTGGGGACTTTCCTTCATGCTTCATTTTCTTAGCAGACAGCCACAGGCTTTGACACTAGTGCCTTTGAAGGGTAAATAGGGGCTAATGCTTCTCCTTGATTCTGCACTCACTCCTTGTTTGAATCCTTCCAACCATTTGAAAAAACAACAATAAATACTATTGCTCCGAGAAAATCTTTTCAAATGGTAACTAAGACAAAACTCACATCCTTGAGAATATGTAATTATGTGTATACAAATGGTGGTACTGTTGTACAACTTACAAATGCTTCAATCCTATTCTTCAAAGCAGTCTCAGTGGGGAAATTTTCTGTTGCAACCTGTTTAGCAGCTTAAGTTACGTTAGGTGCTTTAAAGCAATTTCACTGAATTAAATAAATGTCTAAATATTAGAATGTTTTAGGAGAGAAGGCATGTCTTCCTCTTTCCTCAATTAGTCCAAATTAGTGAGATTTTATTATATATTTAATCCCAGTGCTGCTGCAGTTACCTGTAAAGGAGTAATTTATGTTACACATTAGGGGAGAAGCAGCAATTGATTTTTAGTTCTATTTGGCTTATCTTTTCTGCTTAAGTGCTGATATTTAATTTGTAGGGAAACCTCTAAACAGGTCTATATTTTTATGTTTATCCTCTTTCCTAAGCTAATGAAATAAACACATTTATTGATTTCAGAATCACCTTTATTAATGTAGTTAACATGCCTTACTAGTGTTATTTCGTGTATTTGAATTGGAACCATTATTGTTTATGAATCAACATTTTTCTTTTAGGTCAAAGGAATATAGATGCTGTAGAAGAAAATAAGAGTGGACCTCCAAAGAAGAAAGTGAAGGAATTGAGAATTTTGGATCCCAAAACAGCCCAGAATCTGTGTATGTAATATGTTTTACTTAGGTATGATGGTGATGGCTTATTCAGTATAAACAACCATGCAACTTCTTTGACCAGATTCACTGCTAGAAAAAAGATCCAATATAAGCCTTCTACTGGGTTGCCTCATCTAGCCTTCATACAAGGGGAGGTGCCTAGTCTTATTGCAAATTTATATGGCATGTTTGATTGATATCCCTGGGAGGCCTGCCCCTTTCTGAAGAGAAAGGAAGGAGAAGTGGATCTCGTGGAGAAGGGAGGTAGTTGGGCAGGACTGGCAGGAGACGAGAGAAGAGAAATTGTGGTCAGGATATAATATATGAGAGAAGAATAAAAATAAATTAAGGAATGAAAGGCAGGAAGAGAGAGAGAAAAGGAAGAGAAAAAGGAAAGGAAGGACGGAAGTGAGGAAAAGAAAGAGGAAGGAAGGAAGGAAGGAAGGAAGGAAGGAAGGAAGGAAGGAAGGAAAAAAGATTGATTAATCCTATATAAAAATAATCCAGGTTGCCTTTTGCCACTTAACCAAAATGAATAAAATGAAAATTGAACATTGTTTAACCTACAGAAACTTAACGATTTTTAGAGCTTTGGAAAGTATTGTTAATACAACTTTCATAGTGAACATTATGAAACCTAATTAATTTGGTATTGAAAAATATTGTTAAGTATTGATGATTATTTTTCTCACCAGTTCTAGGATTCATATTTTTTAGAAATATTCTCTAGTCACTGTAGACAAGTCATTTTATTGCTGTTCCTTTAAAATAATTCTAATGTGATCTGGTTAAGTTGTTAGCCACTGCACTTTACAACAGGTTGCTGATCCTTGAGGCCATTAAGCACTGAAACATCAAATGTAGTGTTAGTAATGTAGCTGAATAGTTAAATTCATATCCATTTAAGCAAGTCTCTAAGTTTTACTTTGACATACTCTCTCTTCTGCATTGGATTTAGAATATTTTCTTTTATCACTACAGAAGGGTGTTTAGATGCTGAGGTTACTAAAGCAGTCTGTGTGAGAAATTTTAACACATACTGCATTTCTAATTGCACAAAGAATACTGTGGGACTTATTTGAGAATAAGATTAAAGTAAACAACTTATCATTCTGGCATCAGGCAAGTAATTAGCCATTAAGAATTTGTACATTGCTGCAATGATAGTATTTTTTTCCACAAAGTTGTTTAGTAATTTTTTCCAGTATGCAGTGTGATCTTACTTTCTGGTTAATATATATCCTTGAGATTTATTTCAGTTTTTGAGTTCTCATTCAGTCCCTATGTCTAGGTAACCATTTGCCTAGATAGCAAATATTAATTTTTATTTTGCTACCTGTGCTGTCATGCAGAGCTTTCCATAAAAGTTCATTGATATGTGAGTTCAGGTTCTACCTCTATGAGCATACCTATATTCTTTTTAAAAGTGGATTTAATGGAGACTAGAATGGAAGTTTAAAAGTACTGTCTGTGTAATCGTAAGCTATTCTAGGTAAAATGAGTTGAATTCTTCCAACATGACATAAAATATATCCAATGAAGTAAAGGTTGATAGGGAAATGATTCAGTATATGAAGAAACTAGTAGTTCACTGCCTGAGTGTCAGGAGGAATGCAGAGTATATTGATGAGTCAGGCACTTCAGCTCTTTTTTGGCAAAGTTCAGTAGTATCCTACCATATTTGTGTGGGATCCATTCCAAAACATTCAGTGGATGACTGAAAGCACATGTAGTACTTAACTCCTGGCTATCTATCTACCTACCTAGTCAGTCTGTCTGTCTGTCTGCCTATCTATATCTATCTATCTATCTTCTATCTATCTACCTACTTACCTACGTACCTACCTACCTACCTATCTAGTCTATGTATGTATGTATGTATGTATGTATGTATGTATGTATGTATCTATCTATCTATCTATCTGTATATGTATGTATATATGTATGAATGTATGTATGTATGTATGCATATGCCTGTAGTAAAGTTTGTTTTATAAATTAGAGTCAGACCTTAACAATAATAATAAATCATGTGATTATAACAATATTCCAGAAAGATAAGTCCCTGAATATGGTATGTTCTCTTTTCCCTCAGAATATCTCATTGTACCTGTATCACTATATTTAGGATGATATGAAATGATATGTTTAAAAAAAGCACCTGACAACTTCTCCTTGGTATATTCAAGTGGGCTTATTAAGTACTCCCATGCTTTGGGCTTATAGTTAAGAATCATACATGCGGGGCAGTGGTGGCACACACCTTTAATCCCAGCACTCGGGAAGCAGAGCCAGGTGGATCTCTGTGAGTTCAAGGCCAGCCTGGTCTACAGAGTGAGTTCCAGGAAAGGTGCAAAGCTACACAGAGAAACACTGTCTAGAATGAATAAAAAAAAAAGAATCATACAGATTGCTTCAAAGTAAACAATGTCATGCATTCACAGCCAATCTGATTACTCCAAACGCTACTGTTTTAGTCAACTTTTAGTCATTGTCAAAAAATGCTAGAGAAGGTCAAATAAAAACAGAAAATGTTTATTTTAGCTCATTGTTTTACAGGTTTAGTCCATGGCTACTCCCTTTTATTGCTTTTGACCTCAAAGCAAAATACTCTGGTGGGTCAAAGCTGCTCAACTCATAGTGGTCAAGATGCAGAGATCCAGAGAGGAAGAGTTTGGAGCATTCAGATCATTCCCCCACTGAGTGAATGAATTCTTTGAATGCTGCTTCATCTTCTAATAGTATATTCAGCAGTGCATTCAAAGTATCAATAGTGCATTCATCTTGAAGTCACCAATGGATTAGTCAAATCTCTTGCGGACCAATGACTTCTCTAAAGCCCTATGTCTGAAATTTTCATTGGAAAACAAGCAGTTAACACTAGAAATGTTTTGGAGAAGCCTGTTGTTTCTTAGCCTTAACAGCCATGAGATGATGAGGGAGCAAGTAGCATGCATTTCTCAGATGTACTGTTTGATGAGATGTAGGAGCCAAAGTGAGATTGTATGCAGTTTCATGGTTCTACTGAAAATAGCACAATGTAAAAGTCACTAATTAATTCCTTTTTTAACTGCCTAATGAATAATATTAGACTAAGTTTGAGAAAAATGGAGTGATGTTTGCCTTATTGTCATTCCTTAGAAATTCTATATTGGATGTATCTTGAACTTTGACATTAAAATCTAGATTGACTCAAAAGGCCAATTTAAATCAATCTTTTTTTTTTTTAATTGTAAGTTTTGGTGGGTCGTTTTGTCTCAGCTTAATATAAAATGCCTGAGCATAGTGTCATGAGATATCTAAGTAAGAATTTTATTTTGTACATATGTATACTTGAGCTGCAAATACTGCAGGTTATTTTGCCTATATGAACAGCATAGTCCATCGAATATAAACAACCTATAATTCTGAAAATTAGTAATATATATATTTGGGCTTTTAGAATTTGATACTTTTCTGTCTCTAATAAAATCCAATTTTATTTTAGCTATCTTCCTGGGATCTTATCGCTTACCATATGAGGAAATAAAGAACATTATTTTGGAGGTTAATGAAGAGTTGCTCAGTGAGGCCCTAATTCAGGTATATTGAATATCTTTGGTTTTAAAATAACTTTAATAGAAATTTCAGATGCATCTCTTCTCAATGCTTTTATGAAACAATAATTTCTTACTTTGGATAATAGAATCTGTAGTATCTATATCTGTTTATTACTCAGTTGACTCAGCCTTTATGATTCAGGTTCTAGCTCTTTCTGCCATGCCTTAGCTACTGTGCTTTTAATTTTACACATGTGTATTTGTAGATATGTCATTCTCTGCACATCACAAAATTGCATATATTTCATCATAATAACTGGTCCATGAAATAGTTTTTTATTACCATATTATGGATTAAAAAACCAAGTGATCTAAAGATTACATTTCTATGGATCTTTCTCAGGATCCATTGGTAAATGTGGTAGACTATTCTTTTGTTGGGTACTTAACCTGTGCTGGATACGATTTCATGAGCTGGGTATTTATTATCTCATTGAATCTTAAAACATCTCATGATGCAAGTATTAGTGATAGTGTACTCCCTTTAACAAAACAGAATCTGAATTTTAGGTTATTCAATGGGAGACATCTTGAAGTATCAAACTGTGCTTCAAAATAATGTCTAAACAGGCTGCAAATGCTGCTTAGTTCGCAGTGTGCATGTATACCCTACATGCTGCCCTGAGCTCCATTCCTAGCACTGTGTAAACCCATAGTTGCTCATTTCTGTAATTTCAGCATGTAGGAGGAGACAGGAAGAATAGAAGTTCAATGCCAGCCTAGTATACATGTGTGAGGCCCTGTTTATAAAAGGCAACAGATACCAAGTAACTTATTTTATGTAACTTTAACAATTTATTTCCCCCATACTTTCTGCAAATATTAGATAATCTGTATTAATGACATAAGTAAGTCATATTTCTGTGGATGGTTTATGTCTACATCACAGTTTACCTCATTTTAAATCTGTATATGCTTATTTATAATAGGATTAAGGATTAATGGGTTTATGCTAACATTTTGCTATCATGATACACATGTATGTATAAATGTGACACGTTCATAAGAATCCTCTCATAGGAAAAAATTATTAACAAATTTGCTTTATTTTTTAAGTTCTTGGGGGCAACAAGCATGCCCATTGTTCCTTGAGTTGAAATAGTTTGCTAATCACAATTACCCTGGCATGAGCACATTCACACACACACACACACACACACACACACACACATACACACACAGTTAATAATAATTTAACAAATATATTGTAAAAATACGAAGGTTTAAAAAAAATAGAAGAAACACAAAAGGAAAAAAATTACCAGTCATATGGATGTTTCAAAAAGAAAGATTTGCAGGCTTAACAACATGTATTGTGGTCTAAAGCACTAGAAGAGGTAAGACTGGTCCAAGTCAGCCTTCACACAGCAGTAGGAAACTTCTGGAAGCACCAAGTTACCAAGCAGGATTAAAATTTGGTTGACTGTCCCTCACTTTCCAAGAATGCAAAGTAGGATCTAATGTAACAATTTTAAATACTACGATTTGACTATAATGTAGACCAGATCAAACTAGAAATTTTAATAAACATCAACATAAGCTACTACTGCTTCAAAACTGAAAGCAGTTCATTCTTCCCAACTAGACCAGACTCAAGCAATTTAAAGAAAGGCAATGATGCATTGTACATACTATAAAATTACTGACATTCCATATTTTCTATATGTATAATTTGAAACATAGTTTCATCTAGGGGATATGCATCTTTGAGATTCTTTTCTATCTTTTATTCTCTAATGTACTTAAATCCTGACTTTAAAAATAAAAAGATTTATAAGAATTATACTGGCAAGGGAAATAAACAACTTGATGCTTCATATTTACAGTATTTTTTCATGAAGAGGAAAAGTTATAATGTTGTGATTAACAAAAGTATTGCTACATTTATTGACTCTCCAAACTATGACCCTATCTTACTACAATTTCATTACATAGGAAAGATTATAAAGCTTTTATTACTGATGTGTCACAAGTTTACCTGTCTTGCTTTGTCATATTTCAAAACAAAATGTCATAATCAATGAAAAGAAGGATAACTAAGTCATATTTAGTTTTGTGTCTTGTATATTTCAATTATTATGCAAACGGTCTTTGGACAGTTCAGGTCAGTGCAGGTGCCTCTGAAGGCCAGTGTCATCAGACTCCCCCAGGATTTGGGGGTTACAAACAGTTATAAACTACACTAAGTTTGTTCTGAGAGCTGAAGTCAAATCCTTTCTGAGAACAGCACACTCTTTCAACCACTAACCCATCTCCCCAGCCTCAATCTTCTGTGTTTTCATGGCTTCTATTTGATAAAACTGTTGAAAAGCCAGCTTGCTCATTGTGCACTAGAGAAACTTGTTTCATTGCCTATCCTGTTTAATTCAAATTGATTCTCTTTATTTTTACATAACAACAAAGGAAAGTATTTAAAATGTATGATTGAATAAGACATGAATATAAGATACCTGAAATTTTATGGTTAATATTAGTTTTCCCTGGATGTGTCATATGTTTGAATATGTTCTTGTAAGGAAGTGGGCTCCTCTGGTGAAATTATTATACTCTTGCTGTTCCCCAAATGATTGCTTCCTCATGCAGAAGAAACTTGCATCACTAAGACCTCTTTCTCACTCCCAAACTAGATATATTTGCTTCAGTGATGCAAAAGTAGCATCAATTTGCCATTCATATGAGGTGTTTACCATTTATGTCTAATTACCATGTAACACATCGATAATGCACAGCATTAAATATGTATCATCAGATTAACTTTGTTGTAAGTTCTATTTGATTACAGTGCTAAACTCCATCCATGCATAATCATAGTTTGTTGCTCATGAACATGGTTTTTTTCCTCATAGCAACAAAAACAACAAAAAACAATTAAGGACACATCATTTTCTAGGAACTTGAATTAACAGTGGTGTTACATCTCCTAGAATGGGTCAATAAACTCTTCCTCACTAGACAGCTAAAGGACTGTACTTATTTGACAGGATAAATGGTCTACTAAAAAAACCAGACAAACCAAAAAACTACTTTTATTTAGTCAACATGATAAAGTTAAAATGTTAAAGTTATTAACAAGATCCAATCCCCCATATTTCCATAAGTCTCATATATTTCCATATATCAAGACTTAAACTAGACATTGAATTCACTGTGTGGTAGAAACTGAAATGTTTTACAATGCTTGCTATAACATATAGAAACACTTAAGCATATACTATATTTTAAGATTGTTGGGTGTATTTATGAGTAATTTGTGATAGATTTACATGATTCGTAGCATCACTATTCCAGTATTGAAAATCTAGTTTAGTGTAATTTAACTTGATTATTTGAGAGAAGAAAAAAAGAAAACATACATACAAGACTAGAGTTTAATAGGACATATGTCATTAAAAATAATGTTTATATATTAAACAAAGATACAGAATTGTCAAATGAAACTAGCAGTTAAAACATTTTAAATTATTAGAGAAAAGTTAAAACATGCTTTATCTGAGATCAACAGTGGTTGTGAGTAATTCTTGAATGCTTGAAATATATATTGATAGTGAAATTATGTTTATATTTGCCAGGCATATGTCAAATAAATAGGATTTATATAGAAGGTGCAAAAAATTTTCACAGTTGTTAGTTTAGTGCAATTGGAAAGGATTTGGCAGGTTTTAAACATGGAAGTGTGAAATAGTTCATCTTTCTTTGAATGTAGTTCTAATTTATATTTTGCATTTCATTTAATTAAAACTGTAGACAACAGATTAACATAGTAATAACAGTACTTACAACTGATGGTAATAGAAGTAATAAATTTTTCTTTTCATGTTACAGTCGTGCCAGATATCAAAGAAACATTATTTAAACTCAATACTACTTCAGAATTAAAGTACTTATTAGGTCTGCCACTAGATCTTTTATAATGCGATAATCAAGAAACACATCTATGATTATACACAACTTGCTTTGGTAAATATGTTGACAACTATTTCAACACAGTTGGTTTCATTTATAATGATATGTATTTGATTTTATATTGAGAACTGATCTCCAAATAAAAGAAGTCCATGGGACAACCAACAAGGCCAGAAACTGATAGCTGTGCTCCCAGGGATGCTTGGTTAAGGTAGTTTCCTGGAACAAATTTACCTTGAACTAGACTTTGAAGTATTAATAGGATTCAATAAGGGATTATTGAGAGTGAATAGTGGGCAAATACTTGAGGAATATAAAAGATAATATCTTTTATTATTCATTTATATTTTTTAATTAACAAAGGATAGTGATGACCAAGCATATGGAGGACGATTAGTGAATTGGTAGTGATGCTATTATAGAAACAGAGATCACGGTCTAATAACCGGTCCCCTCCTTTTTCTATCTATATCTCTGTATTTCTCAGAGGTGCTTTATGTGGAGTTTTAGTTGCCTAAGTGCAAGAAGTTTAATGTCATTTATGTGCTACAGGCCTCACTGTTCCTTACCTCACAGTTTGACTTATTCCTGGATCCTGTGTACATTAAACTTTTTTTTTTGACTGCTGCTGGACAAGTTGAACTATTGAATTTAGGCAACATTCAATTTTATGTTTAGGAAAATTAGTGCAGCCATAGTATATATTAAGTGATTTGCTGTTAATAGACTTAATAGGGAAATACAATGTACTTTTTAAAAATACAAAATAAATAAAGCCTTGAACTATACAGGCTTCATTTGGGTAGCAGGTAGATAACTTAGTTTTAAAATATATATTCATTGAAAACTAAAAGTTTTGTTAAAAAAATGGTTGTACTAATGGAAAAAAGAAAGCATCTTCAACAAATGGTCCTGGCATAACTGGATGTCAACATGTAGAAGGCTGCAAATGGCTCCATATCTGTCACTGTGCACAAAATTTAAGTCCACGTGGATCAAAGACCTCAACATAAATCCAGTTGCTCTGAACCTAATAGAAGAGAAAGTAGAAAGTAGTGCTCTCATCCAGTGACTGATGGA